ACCTTAGCCTTATTGGTGATAGCCATAGCATTTTGAGCGTATTCCAATGTGGAGATAGTTTCCGTCAAATTATATGCTGTAGGAGATACAGTGGCAAGCATCCAAGTCTTACTGTTACCACCAAAACTCTCTGAAAGTATTCGTGTTAACTTTGAGGCACGTAACGATATAAAGGCATCACCTCCTTTCCTATCACTGAATGAATTTAGTGCCCGACCAAGCATTAGCAAAGATTGATTGATCTTTTTGGCCTCTTCAAATGCAATTCCTGTGGATTCAGTCTTGCTCTGACGCTCACTACCAGCAAGGTCAACTAACAAAACCACACTTTCCACATCTCTCATCTCCAAAGACTCGTACTTCTGCGAAATGGTAATTTGAATAACGGCATGTGATCGCGAACTAGTCTCGTTCATCTTTGTTTCCCCTGTCTGACGGTTTGCATTACCTATTTTTAGTAGTTCAAGCATGCGTTCTAAAGTTAGTACAGGGTGGACACCAGCTCCCTTAACATAAACGCGACGTTGGTTATCCTCATGAATCTCAAGGGACTCTGGCTCCTGTCCCCGCACTCGCGGTGCTAAGAGATCACGTACCTTTTCCATGTACACTTCGACCATAGTTACGAAGAACTTAATTGTTGCCCCACTATCGGTTTCTACACGTCGCTGTGCCTCTTCAATCATCTCTTGTACAAAACGTGGAGCTATACCACAATTCTCTTTGCTGTTCAAGTCCCCAAAAAGACTGTGCGTCTTCCCACTTCCTGTTTGACCATACGCAAATAAACAGACGTTAAATCCGCCAAAAGCTTCCTTCAACATCGGTCTTCCAATCTCATCGTACAACTCATCCTGAGGTCCGGTAAATACACGATCAAATTTAAATACATCCACAGTCTTACTCCCCCCATGGTCAACCATAACAGCTTTTTTGTCATCAGGAACACTCCGTAAAACCACCTTTTCACTTTCTCGAGGAGGACAAATACGAACACTCACTTGAACACGAGCACCAGGTCCAGGGCTAACAGCATTTGCTTCTGTCATTCTTTTTTTATCACTATACTCCCTAGAGTAAAGA